TCATAAGAACGTCTGGAATTTTACAGGTAACATGCAGATTGTTAAATATCTTGTCGAACATGGAGCTGATGTGAATTCTGTAGACAAATTTAATTTTACACCACTTCACTTGGCTGTCATGAAAGGTAATGGTCTATTAAACCGAGAGTCGAGCGCTATCCATATAAATACATTGTGACGTCACACATCTTACACAGAAACGACATCTTTGTAAAACAGACTAACTACAATGTAAAAGTATAGCGAGAGGGGAAGGGAGTAAATAAAAAGGGGAAACAGATACGTTTGATTTACATTGTAGTTAGTCCGTTATTAATAGATGGCGTTTATATAGTGTGCCCTTATTGCGCTTGACTCTCGTCTATATTAGGATGTATCGATAATAGAGGAAGTTCAACGCCGATATTGTTTGGTAGACCTATTTTGGCGACATTTGAAAGTTGTCTATATTTAATCGAAACACTTTGTAGTGGGTTTCTTGGCATCAGAAAGCCGTATCTGATGTTAATATTTCAATTTTTCATATAACGAGTGAACCGGTAGTTTTTGACTGAGAGTTTGTCTAACCCTGCATTTGTCATAATAGAGCAGAGTGCGTTTAACTCTCAAACGGCACATTTGCATCGCATGCATAGTCGTAAATAAGAATAAAAAGGAACTTTCATCCGTAAGTCTAACTTTACCGCACTGTTTCCACATTTCTTTCTTTACAGAACGAATATTTATATCCCAAAAGATATTGAACATGCACTGGTAGTGCAATAACTACCTAATTCTAATTTCTGAGTGCAGTCAACTTTTTTGGCCAACGATAGACAATTGACGTATAAATAATTCAAAATATGTGGAGTGTGTGCTGTACGGAAAGAAAAAATCACCACAAATGAGATTTTTTGAATGGACGCAATGCATGTATGATATCGTAATGACATGAAACTTTGTACATGCCATTTTCTTTCAAAAAATATAACATTTTGAAAGTTTGATGCAATTTCAATACAAATTGAAGATACCTCCCATACAAAATTTTCGGTTAAGTGCCCAAAATCGAAAAATGTGTATGGGAGGTGCCCCTAATTTTGATTGTCATTTCTTAAAACTTTCTGAATGTAATTTCTTTGTGTAAAAAATAGCCCGTGCAAAGTTTTACGTCATTATCGTAGCATAAAGGCATGGCTGCCTTACAAAAATGCCTGTTAATACATACGATATAATTATCGTAATGACGTGAAACTTTGCACAGGGTATTTTTCACCAAGTTTTAAATTTTGAAAGTTTTAAGAAATGTCAATTTGAGGGTACCAGCCTCTCCTATTCATTTACAATTTAAAAATCTACCCATCCCAAGTTAAAAGCCCAGGTCCCGAGAAATAATGTCACTTCCTCTATTATCGATACTTCGAAAATATAGAGCGGGAATGGTATGATCGCTGAAGTAGTTAAGTTAAATGCTTCTTTGCTCAATATTTCAGGCACACTCGAATTGATTGAGTTTTTAATCACTCATGGTGCAAAGGTAAATGCCGAAGATAATTGGAAATGGACGCCACTCCATAGAGCTGCTCAGCGTGGTAATTATTGATTATATGGCCTATATTTGGTTTTGAAAATGGAAATAAACAATGTTTATTAAACATGGTCGGATCACTAACTATTTATCTGCGCAACATTTCAGGCGAATTTGAAATTGTCAAATACCTTGTCGAGCACGGAGCTGATGTGACTTCTAGAGATATCAGTCATTCTACATCACTTCACGTTGCAGCTCGATATGGTAGTTGCCTAAATGTTTGGAAATTGAAAACATCAAGCTAGAATGGTATGATCGCTAAAGTAATAAGCTAAATGCTTCTGTGCTTAATATTTCAGGTAAACTCGAAATGATTGAGTTTTTAATCACTCATGGTGCACAGGTAAATGCTGAAGATAATAATAAATGGACGCCACTCCATAACGTTGCTCGATATGGTAATTACTGATTATAGGTTTTGAAAATGGAAATAAGATGGTCGGATCGCTAATTATTAATCTGCACAACATTTCAGGTACATATGATATGTTTAAACATTTAATTGAACATGGAGCAAATATAAATGCTACAACTGTCGAAAACTATACACCTTTGTTTTTGGCCGTTCAAAATGGTAATTATCAATCGATAAATTTAGAAGAAAAGTTGTTTCATAAGAACTTCGTACATTTTACAGGTAACATGCAGATTATCAAAAGTCTTGTGGAACATGGAGCTGATGTGAATTCTAGAGACAACAATAATCACACAGCACTTCACTGGGCATCTCTACATGGTAATTGACTATTCTGGTTTTTCAAGCACTAGCAGCTAAGCTAACCGTTTATCCTCTCAATATTTCAGGCTCAGTGGAATTAGTTGAATATCTGATCACCAATGGTGCAAATATAAATACTACAAAATTGTCTTTGGTTGCTCGGAATGGTCATTTTCAATCGATTCAATAAAAAGGTTATATCATAAGAACTTCATAGATTTTACAGGTAACATGCAGATTATCAAAAGTCTTGTCGAACATGGAGCTGATGTGAATTCTAGAGATGTCAGTCATGCTACACCACTTCACGTGGCATCCTTACATGGTAATTGTCTATATGTTTGAAAATTGAAAATAGATGGTATGATCGCTAAAGTAGTGAAGCTAAATGCTTCTTTGCTTAATATTTCAGGTAAACTCGAAATGATTGAGTTTTTAATCACTCATGGTGCAAACGTAAATGTCGAAGACAATAAGAAATGGACTCCACTCCATAACGTTGCTCGATATGGTAATTATTGATTCACGCTCTGCTCGCACTCCATTTAAAGCAATGTATTGGGTTTCGAACACGCAGATGTGCTGCCATCTGGTATCTCAAAGTTAAGCTGCTATAAAGCACATGCTTCTTGCAAATGAAGAAGAAGAGGAAAGCAATGTCTTTACATAGGGTTGAACTTATAAATGTCAGAGAGCAGCACAACTGCAGTATTCAAAGTGCGATTGCCCTTCGTATTGATTATATGGCCTATATGACAGGTTCAGAGAAAACACAATTAAAAAAATATGTTGCTAAAAGAACGTATACGTTTACGTATTACAAACAAATGAATTATGAACGCAAAAGTGAAGTAAACCCATTTGTTTATATTTTGTTTTGAATGGGATACTTTTGCCCTCATTACTCATTTGTTAGTTTTTTAGACTCGGAAACTTTTTGTACGTTCTTTAATATATTTTTCTATTTGTGTTTTCCGAATATATTTTTCAAGTTATTTGTTTCCCTTGAACCTGTCATATATAGGTTTTGGACACGAAACTAGCATGGTAGGATCACTAACTATTTACTTGCAAAACATTTTAGGCACATATGAATTGTTTAAATATTTAATTGAACATGGAGCAAATATAAATGCTACAACTGTCGAAAACTATACAGCTTTGTCTTTGGCTGCTCGTAATGGTAATTTTCAATGGATTCATGTAGAAGGAAAGTTGTTTCATAAGAACTTTATACATTTAACAGGTAACATGGAGATTGTCAAATATCTTGTCGAACAAGGAGTTGATGTGAATTCTAGAGATAGCAATCGTGCTACACCACTGCACTGGGCAACTCGATATGGTCATTTTCTATATGTCTAAAAACTAGAAATATCAAGCATAAGCAGCATAACTGTTCATATTCTCAATATTTCAGGCTCCGACGAATTAGTTAAACATCTGATCACCTATGGTAGAAATTCAATTACTATACCTTCATATTTGGCTGCTGCGAATGGTAATTTTCAACTGATTAATTTAGAAAAAAGATTACTTTATAAAAGCTTCGTATATTTTGCAGGTAACATGCAGGTTATCAAAATTCTTGTCGAACACGGAGCTGACGTGAATTCTAGAGATAACAGTCGTGCTACACCACTTTACTGGGCATCAATACATGGTAATTGTCTATATGCTTGGAAACTGAAAATATCATGCGTGATCGCCAAAGTAGTTAAGCCAACTGTTTCTCTGTTTAATATTTCAGGTACATTTGAAATGGTTAAATACCTCATCACTCATGGGGCAAACGTAAATACCGAAAATAGTAATAAATGGACGCCACTCCATAACGTTGTTCGATATGGTAATTATTGATTATAGGTTTAATCTTTATATAGGTTTTGAAAATTGAAATAACATGGTCGGATCGCTAACAATATCTATCTGCACAATATTTCAGGCAAATTTGAAATGTTCAAATATTTAGTTGAACATGGAGCAAATATTAATGCTACAACTGTCGAAAACTATACAACTTTATCTTTGGCTGCTGCACGTGGTAATTTTGAACCGACTTATTTAGAAAAAAAGTTGTTTCTTAAGAACTTCGTATATTCTACAGGTAACATGGAGATGGTCAAATATTTTGTCGAACATGGAGCTGATGTGAATTCTAGAGACAAAGATAATCACACACCACTTCACCAGGCTGCTTCAAGTGGTAATTGTCTATATGTTTAAAAACCAGAAATATCAATCATTAGCAGCTAAGCTAACTGTTTATATTCTCAATATATTCAGGCTCAGTGGAATTAGTTGAATATCTGATCACCAACGGTGCAATTATAAATGCTACAACTGTCGAAAACAATACAGCTTTATTTGTGGCTGCTGAAGAGGGTAATTTTTAATCGATTAATTTAGAAAAAAATAAAATGTCTTACATCCGTAAGATGAACTTTTCCTCACTTTGATCCACAACATTCATTTATTACATATCTTTTACAATACCGTAAATATGAATTCATGAGAAATCTGAATCCAACATTAGTTTTGCGATACAAATAATTCCTGAAACATTTTTCAATGCCTATAGGATATCGTTATGACGTGAAACTTTGCACAGGGTATTTTTTACACACAAAAGTAACATTCTGAAAGTTTGAAGAAATTTTAATACAAAATTTTGTATGAGAGATACCCCTAAATTGTATTGAAATTTCTTTAAATTTGCTGAGATTGTAAATTTTGTCAAGAAAATAAGATTCAAAAGTTTTTATGGTGGAAAAATTACTTCAAACAAACATTTATTGCGTTTTGTTGATTCAAAATTGATCGGATTTTTCCCAAAATGTGTAGTTACAGTGAGAACTTGTAAATCTCATTTTCTTGCCAAACTACATAATCTCAGCAAATTTGAAGAAATTTCAATGCATATTAAGGGTATTTCCCATACAACATTTCGTTTTAGAGCGAAAAATCCAAAATTTTGTTGGTGAGGTACCCCTCATATGTATTAAAATTTCTTCAAACTCTCAGAATGTTATTTTTGTGTGGAAAAAATAACCTGTGCAAAGTTTCAGCTCATTACGATATCATACAGGCATGGCTTCCATACAAAAATCCAATTTTTTTGTCCTTTTTATATGAAAATTGTGTCGAAAGTTATTTGTATCGCAAAACTAACGTCATATTCGGTTTTCTCGTACCCAAAAACCTCCCTATACACATTTTTGAGTGTTTAAGAATACATTAAATACGACTTTTGGAAGAAAAATTGAATTTTTCCCATGGATGGCCATGGGCATCACACCAGACATGACACTTTACTCTATCAACTAAAGTCGCTCAAAATCTGATGGTTTCTATTCCACGGCACCCCCAATCATCCTGTGAAGTCAGATTTTGAATTACTTTTCTTGTTTGAAAGTTATCGTGTTAACAAATTTTTGCGTACAGCGTACAGGGCACCACGCACATACATTCGGACATCGAAAAAACGCTAGATTCGTGTTCCCTGGCCCCAAAAACACCCAGAAAACACATTTTTGATGGGTGTTAATTTTTCGACCGATTCCAATACTTTACCTTACACACTAAGTGTGTGCGGATAAGTAATATTGTTTCATAAGAACGTCATACATTTTACAGGTAAAATGCAGGTTGTTAAAAGTCTTGTCGAACATGGAGCTGATGTAAATTCTAGAGACAAAGATAATCACACACCACTTCACTGGGCATCGATACATGGTAATTGTCTATATGCTTGGAAGCTGAAAATATCAAGCTTGGTTGCCAAAGTAGTTAACCCTAGAGTTAACCCAACTATTTCTCTGTTTAATATTTCAGGCACACTCGAAATAATTGAGTTTTTAATCACTCATGGTGCAAACGTAAATGACGAAGACAATAATACATGCATGCCACACCATTACGCCGCTCGATTAGGTAATTATTGATTATACGGCCTATATATATATGTTTTGAAAACAAAAATAGCCTAGTAGGATCGCTAACTATTTATCTGCACAACATTTCAGGCGAATTTGAAATTCTCAAATATTTAGTTGAACATGGAGCAAATATAAATGCTACAATGTCCCACAATTATACAGCTTTGTTTTTGGCTATTGCAAGTGGTAATTTTCAATCGATCAATTCAGTAGAAAATTTGTTTCATAAGAACTTCGTACATTTTACAGGTAACATGGAGATTATCAAATATCTTGTAGAACTTGGAGCTGATGTAAATTCTAGAGATGAAAATCATGCTACACCACTTCACGTAGCATCTGTATTTGGTAATAGTCGGATGCTGAAAACACCACTCGCGAATGGTATGATCGCTAAATGTTTCTTTGCTTAATATTTCAGACAAACTCGAAATGATTGAGTTTTTAATCACTCATGGTGCAACGGTTAATGCCGAAGACAATGATAAATGGACGCCACTCCATAGGGCTGCTGAAATTGGTAATTATTGATTATATGGCCTATATATATGTTTTGAAAATGAAAATAACGTGATAGGATCGCAAATTATTAATCTGCACAACATTTCAGGCTTTGAAATTGAAATTTTCAAATATTTAGTTGAACATGGAGCAAATATAAATGCTAGAACTGTAAAAAATGATACACCTTTATCTTTGGCTGTTCAGAAAGGTTGAATCGATTAATTTAGAAGAAAAGTTGTTTCATAAGAACTTCACAAATTTTACAGGTAACATGCAGATTGTCAGATATCTTGTTGAACACGGAGCTGTTGTGAATTCGAAAGACAAAGATAATCACACACCACTTTACTGGGCAAATCGAAATGGTATATTCTCAATATAAATAATCCAATAGTGCACTCTTTACTTAGTGCTTTTCATTTTCATAATTGTACATTTTAAATGGATAAGATTTAATAAGTGTTTTTCAATTTTTAGGCAAGGAAGAAATAAAACAGTTCTTGATTGATCATGGAGCAGATGCGAAAGACATATAAAATGAAACACCATTTGAAATCGATTGCGGCAATAAATAGTACATTCAATCATTATTCAAATGAATCGTATTTAAAAAAAATGATTGACCATATAAAATATATTTGCATAGGAGGACATTCTCAATTTTCATATAATTATTAATTGAATTAATAAAAGTTCAGGACTGTCAATGTTTGTTACAACGATTCATCTTTGCCTAGATATACGAGTATGCTAACTAACTTGAAATATTGTCATGTAATAAATCGCTTGAGAGCAGTGTTTGAAAATTGAAATTTCTCTGAGCAATTAAATTATTGATTTTGAATAGTTACGTTCTGTTTACAGATGATATAAAATTATTGTTTCTGAATGGCGGTCACGACATTTCTCTGAGGACGAAAGCAGTAAATAAAGTCGTGCCGAAACAGGCTTTTATCATTTTAATATTTTTATTTTCGCCATCTGATTTTAGATGTCATTAAAATAATAATAAACACAAGGAATTATATAAAACATCACGAAAAATAATGAAATCTCCATCACGATTTCGAAGTAAATAAAGCTTTTCTTCTTAAAAGAGTATAAAAACAATGAATTTTCAGCAGTGAAGCATCGGTCATTTTAGTTTTACTTTCAGAGTAAGTCAGAATACCGAGAAGTTTGTTTGAAAACCTTTTGGAAAATCTTCTGATCGAGAATTTTTGAGACTTTATACCCAATTATAAAAGAGAAACTTTTGATTGCTGTACATTTTTCAGAAAGACTTACTCTTGTACTTTGAATTTACCGCAAATAGCATTTAAAAACGAAGAAAAAATTGTGCTTGCTTGTTATTGTGACGCTTATAAGCATTGGTATAAAATATTCATTATTTTTAGCAAATCTGTTACGTGATTTGTAACAATTTTGTGATTTTTTTCGAATTCTTGAAAATAGAATATGCGGTAGCACAACGCTATTTAATTCCGAGAGAGCAAAGCATGACGATAAGGCAAAATTGCTTGCCAGCGCCACCAAATGACTCCATATGATTCTATATAGTTCTGCGGTTGCCAGCGGTTCTAATCTCTAATAGAGCGTTGCCGAGCTGTCATTATCGTCGTGCTTTGCGAGAGAGAGGGTACAGAATCATGTAAAATTGGAATAATAAGCAAATTAGCATAAATTATTTTTTTTTTCAGAAAAATTGGCCCGATGCAATTCAGTATTGCAATAGAAGAAATAGGAGATTGGTGAGCATTGAATCGCAAGACGAGTTGGATCAAATTATCTATGCAATCAGACACAAGGGTATGTTTTATTTATAAGGCGTAATTGTACGACGTTCGAATGCTAGGGGCTTAATTTGGTGAAAAAATTCACAGGAATTCATTATGTATAACAAGCCTCCATCTTGGATTTTCATGTACAATTCATACAAATTCGAATTAAGCCCCTAGTTTGAATGTATTTTAAGGAGTCCCTTGTACACGAATACATGCATTTTGTTGTCAATTCGAATAAATCCGAAGGAAAAGCTCTGAAATTGCTGTATATATCATTTTTCTTTCACTCAGACTTCGGAACCGAATATATTTGGACATCTGGGACTAATCAAAACAGTTGGAATGGAAAATATACTTGGTATGAAATTGATGAGCCTGTAGGCTGTAACCCTTGATAATTGGGCAAATGGTCAGCCGGATAACTACGGTGGAGATCAAAATTGCATCATTTTGGATCGCAATCATAACTATCAATTTGATGATGCCAATTGCTACATCAACAAATACAATTTCATTTGTGAAGAAAAGTACTAGATTACGATCTTCATTCCATATTACTACTCTCAACTTACGGATGTACTGTTTGGTTTTCGAAACAAAAGTAAATAAATAAGGAATCAAAAGAATGCCATTTCAATTTGTTTTTTTATTTACAATACATCTATTTATTAACATTCATTTCATGTATTTTGTAATTTTACGCAAAGTTAAAAATGAGACTGTTAAAGGCCAAGGCGGAACGATCCAATCGATATACTGGTCAACTCTCTGTGTGAACAAAAATTAACTGATGATAACCCACAAAATACTGTTTAAATTAAACGACCGTTGAACGTACAGTGTATACTCCTTTCCATCCGGGTTCATGGCACGTTGATGAACCGAATGAAAAAAACACCGGCCACGTAATAATAGGTATTTTCTGCCTCATGATGCTGTGCCACCCGAATCACCTATTCACGAAAAATAATAGCGACCACTAATTCACTTAATTTTAACGTTTGTACCTCGACATGAATCCCTCCCTGGACGACCGCCAGCGCAAAGTTGTTTATTTGTCAGAGTAAAATTTTGTACGAAATCTGCCATTTTACATTGATCAATTGCGAAACCATCAAATTCACC